CGTTCCCAGCCAGATCAAAAACACGGTGGTGAGGCTGTGCGCGGCCTGCAGGGACGTCAGTGGGTCCCGGAGGTGGCTCCTCCTCCAGCCACACATTGACGCAGAAACCTCCTTCGCCCACCACTGCCTTCTCCCTGTGTTGCTGAACTGTTCCCGCGTGGCCGGTGGGGCGGATTTGGCCTCACAGAGCCTGGCATGGGGCAGCTCAGGGGGTCTGCACCTCCTCCAAGCCCCCCTCTCTCCTTGGCTGAACCTGAATCAGCATCTCCTATAACTTCTGGAGTTGGGGCTCATTGCTGTGGGGCACCAAGGGCCCCAGGGGACTTGCCCACAAACGGAGCAGAAGCTCTGAGGTCTTGGCTGGTTCAGAGGTGCCAGGGGAGGTAGCCCAAGGGGTCTCTGGTGCAGGATGGGACCACCAGGTCCTGCTGAGGATGGCAGGTCCAACCAAGCCCATGCAGAAGGGCTCCCCATGTCTGCCCTGAAGGGAGGGGGCTTTGACCCCTCCCAGGGCAGGGTAGACATTTCTCCCTCTAACACAGACCAACACATGCAGTGTTGTAATAATAGACCATTTACAGTTGTTTATTTTAAGAAACGTACAAAGAAAAGTGGCTTCAGCTCACACAAATCCTGCTCTTCGGCATTTTTTCCCATCACCGACGACACAGACGTACAAGCAGCATTGATTGTGAACCACAACCTGGGCTGGAAACCGCTGTGCCGTGGGTGCTTCCCATGCAAATGCCACTTCAAGCAGCTCAGGCTCCTGTTCCAGGGAGCATCACCCTACGCGACACGGGAACGAGAGCGGAACGCTACGGGATGAGCAGAACAACCCTGGCTCTGCCGCCTGGCCGACAGCACGTGGATGCGAGCAAGAAAAAAGGGCCAGCCTGAACATGGGCCATCCGTAACGGCTCGGCACCAAAATCAGCCCAAGAAAAAATAATTATCATAATAATAATTATAATAATAAAAAAATAAAGACCTTTTGGCTTCAAGAAGCAGCCCTTGTTTTAACTGGAAGAGGTTTTGGTTCATGTTTGTTTTGATCTCTGGAGGTTTTTTTCCCTTATCAAGGCAGAAAATGGTCCAGAGATTAACTCGGGGCCTTTTGCGCATTTTTCTTGATTTACTTTCCTTTTGCCCACCTGTGTAAAGAGCAGGAAAACCCTTCCCCCCTGGGAAAACCCTCCTCTGCTGGGAGGTTCCCTGGTGAGGCCCTGCCTGGCCCCAGCAGGTTCTGCAGACGCCCCAGCATGTGCTGCTGGGTCATCTCCAGGATGCTCTGCCCGGGCATTTTGGGATTTACACCCCGGTGGGAGCATTCATGGCATTAAGGTGTCCCCCCCTGCCATCTGGCAGGGCCTGTTGCAATAGGACAAGGGGTGATGGTTTTAAAGTAAAAGAGAGGAGATTTTCACTGGATACAAGGAAAAAATTTTTTACGCTAAGGGTGGTGAAACCCTGGCAGAGGTTGCCCAGAGCGGTGGGAGATGCCCCATCCCTGGAAACATTCAAGGCCAGATTGGATGGGGCTCTGAGCACCCTGATCCAGCTGAAGATGTCCCTGCCCATGGCACGGGGGTTGGACTGGATGGCTTCTAAGGGTCCCTTCCAACCCAAAGCATTCTGTGATTCTATGAATGCTGGGTGGCCAATGCGATTTTAGGCACCCCGTTGAAGCAGCTCATTCCAAGGACCATCCAAAGACCTGCTCCGATCCCCAGTGATGCATCTTGTTAGCACTAAGAACCCTCCAGCGGGACATTTCCACTTGCTATTGGGCTTGGAAAAGACCCTAGAATTGGTTTTGTTACGGGGATGGGGGACTCTGGCAGGAGGTTCTCCATACCCTACCTTTGTCTGTTGCTTTCCTGCCACAAAATCCGGATGAAATGGGAAAACAGAGAAGAAGCATGAATATAAATACCCTTTACATTCGTACCATAGAGACCTGAATGATTGATGATTTCAACGCATATTCAGAGACCTTTAAAACCTGATATTTAACCCTGAGAACATATCTGCAGATGCTTTGTTTTGGCTATGAAAACAAATCTTTAAGACATAATTGCACTTTCTCTGTATATAACAAAAAAAAAAATCCATAAAGCTTATTCAAATATTGAAAAGAAAGGTGCTAATTTAAGACATTGGAGATATTTGTTCACACAACCTTATCTTTTTTGTAATTATTCTTAATATTATTTCACTTGGCTCATCTTTCACTGGCTACTTGGCTGCACTCTGGAAGAATAATATACAATAAAATCTCTTGATTGTGAAATAAAATTAATAAATAATTACTTTAAGTAAAAGGACAGCCATACTTGTTTGTTAATGTCTGAAAAATGTCGTTACCATGATGAGATCATTTCAAAACTAAAATGTTTCTCTTTCACCAACAACAGTTAGACTTCACATTTAATTCTCATAAGAAAAAATATTCAACTCTTTGCAAGTGCAGTGAGCTGTAAGAAACAGGAGAAGTAAGAGATCCTGCTTTGAAAGTTAAGGTGTCTACTTGAAATGTCTGAAATTAGCTCAATGTCAAAGATCTATTGATCTGTGTATGGAAGAGCTCTTGAAAAGGAGACACAAATGAAGTATTTTGAGGCTGGGCGAGAGATGGAAACCTCTTTCTGTTATACCAACGACTCTTTCACAACGCGTTCCTTATCCTGTTCTTTTGTTTCGCCAGGAGCATCTTGAGTCTCTGAGCTGGGAATGGGTGCAAGACCAAAGGCAGGGGTCGTCTCCACATCTGTCCCACTGTTCCCGTACATCTCGTGCATTTTGGTGGCGATCAGACCTTCCTTCTCGGGTGCATCCTCTCTCAGGGCATCCTCATCCTTACTGTGCCTGTACATGTAGGATGCCTGCTTCACCGAGCGCCTCAGGAGGTACCTCCGGAAAGCCCTCTGGATTTTTGTAGCACAGACTTCCTCGTGTTTCCTCTTCAGAGTGGTGGTGATGGGTTCATAGGAAACCTTCGAGGGGTTTGCAGCCATGAACTTCTCCTCCATGGTGGCCTTCAAGGCATCCATCTCTCCTGAGTCTCCCAGCACTTCCTTAGTCAGAGCAAAGAGGATATCCAGACAGTGGATTTTGTCCCCAGCAACCATTGGTAGATCCATGGTGATTAGCTTGATCTTGTTCGGCTTGGGAATTTTGAGTGGCTCCTGTAAGGTGTCTACAAAGTCCGACAAGGTGCTGTACGCAATGAACTGGGTGGCATCTGGGTCAAACTTCTCCCAGATTTCATAAAACATTTCAAAATCGTCTTCACAGAGAGGTTCACTGCTCTCCTCTGTGGCCACATTGAAGTTCTCCAGGATGATGGCAATGTACATGTTCACCACGATGAGAAAGGAAATGATGATGTAGCTGCAGAAGAAGAAGATGCCGATGGATGGATTGCCACAGTTCCCTTTTACCGAACTGCCAGGGTTTTCCAGGTCAGGGTCGCAGTCGGGAGGGCCGCTG